TTTTCGCCTGCGTTTGCTTTCAAAATGCTGCTCTCGCTGAGGCGCCGGCCTCATTTCTGCTTCCGAATCGTTCCGAATCGTGCTCCCGCTGCAGCGTGGGCCTCATTTTCGGATCGGTGTTTGGCCTCCGTCGTTCAGGATGGCGTTCTCGCCCCAGCGCGGGCCTCTTTCTCGCGCGCCCATCCGCCCGCCACCAGCGCGCCGCACCACCACCACCACCACCACCACCACCACCACCACCACCACCACCACCACCACCACCCCCACCACCACCACCACCACCACCACCACCACCACCACCACCCCCACCACCACCACCACCACCACCACCACCACCACCACCACCACCACCACCACCACCACCACCACAACCACGCACACACGCACGCACGCACGCACGCACGTGCACCACCACCCACTACGCACGCGCGCGCGGAGCCACAGGTCCGCTACGACACGCGTCCGCGGATAGATAAAATCAGCGCCATGGTAAGGGATGGGAGGGAGGGGTAGGATGTCAGATATGACGCGCGCGCACCTAGCTTTCCTCTTCCCCTCTCCTTTCCTCCTCCCACCTCCTCCTCCTCCTCCGTCTCCTCCCCTTCCTCCGCCTCCTCCCTTTTTCCCCTCCTCCTCCTCCTCCTCCTCTCCTCCTCCTCCTCATCATTCATCCTCATCCTCCTCCTCCTCCTCCTCCTCCAGCCCCCCTCCTCCTCCTCCTCCTCCACTCATCCTCCTCCTCACCTTCCCCTCTCTTTCCTCCTCCTTCTCCTCCTCCTCCTCCTCCTCCGCTTTGTCCTCCTCCTCCTCCTCCTCCTTCTCCTCCTCCTCCCTCCTCCCTCCTCCTCTCCTCCTCCTCCCCGCCTCCCCTCCTCCTCCTCGGCCTCCTCCTCCTCCTCCTCCTCCTCCCTCCGCCTCCCTCTCCTCCTCCTCGTCCTCCTCCTCCTCCTCCTCCTCCTCCTCCTCCTCCTCCTCCTCCTCCTCCTCCCCCTCCCTTTTCCCCTCCCGGGGGCACCCTTAGCAGCACGCGAGGGGGCGGGGCACAGGGCGAGCCCGGCGCCTCGGGGAGGGCCCTCCGCCCCCCGCCTCCGATGCAGTCAACACGGAGAGTGAGGTTTCAGTTGGGCCTGTCTTTTTGAGGGGAAGATCCAGATATAGTAAAAGAAGAGTCTGGGAACGATTTGTTTTTGTTCTGACATTTTTTGCATTGTTGGGGTATTCTGTATTTTTCGTTAAAAATCGTTCTGTAGGAGGACACGCCCGACGCTCCGAGCAAATTGTGGCAGGCGATTTTTGGCAGTCTTCGGCCTCCGGGGGCCCTCGCTGGGCCTCGGGAAAGTACCCCCAAAATAGTAAAGAAAAAAAAAATCCAAAAATAGTTCTGGGGACTGTGGTTTGAATATTGTGTGACCTTTGTGGTGGATTTTTCCACAATTTTTCGTCGAAAATCCCACTGTAGGGGGAGACACGCCCGACATAAGACAAAAAGCCGGTTCCAGGGAAGTGGTCCGGACCTCCTGGGTCCACGCACCCCAAAAAATGGAGCAGCCGGATGTCTGGGAGCACGGAGAGTGAGGATGAACGTGTTTTCAAGGTCGCGGTGGGTTCACGCGGCGATGGCGCGCCAGCGACGCCAGCGAAGGCGTTCAGGGTTGAATTTGGCATGATAGAGCGCCGCGGAGGCTCTGATGGACACGGTAACGCCACGGGACCCGACGGAATTCATAAACGATCAGGGCCGCGATTAGTTCAAGGTCGAAGGATCGACTCGGTGTCAAAGCTTGTGCTCGTGCCGACGCTGCACGAATCTGCCATACGCGTGCATCCTTCCCCTTTGGCCCATATCCTTGGCTTCCCCTTCGGCCCATATACTTGGCCACTTTCGCCGGCAGCGCCCCGCGCGAAGTGTGTCGGCATAGCCTTCCAAGGCCCTTGCATCCTTATCGCGCGTCGTTGTCATGCTCGTTGACTGTATTCGCTCGGCGACGAACGCGAGCCCGGGAACAGTAAAGGCCCCCCCTCTGGCCCCCCCCGTCCTTTCCTTGGGGCGGGGGACTTACAGATTCTTCCCGAGGGTTTTTGTTCGTGGCCGCGGCCGCCGCGCTGACCGTGGCCGCCGTGCCAGCCGGCCGCCGTGCCAGCCGGTTCGGTTTCACCATCCGCCATTCCTCGCCCGACCTCGCCGGCGACCTTGGGCCGCCGAGTCCGTCTAGGTGATGTTCCGCCCCAGGGAGGGCTTTTGCTCGTTGTGGGCTCACACCTGCGAGGGTGTGGTTGCGCCGGGGTGCTGTTTGCGACCTGCGGTGGCTGGGGCTCGGGGGGCACCACGTTGCCTTCGTGGAGGCGCGGCGGAGCACCGTGTCGAGGCTCTCCCCCGCACTCGCTGGTGCGGGTTGCACCCCCCCCCCCCCCTGCAAACTGCACCCTTCGGAGTCGCCGATTCAGGCCCTCCCGCCTACTTTCAGGATCCTCGCCACAAGGCAAAGAGTTGGATGCTCGTTATGGGGACCTTCCTGAGGCGTAACTCGAGTAAGCGATTAAGGACCCCCCCCCCTCTCCGGTGAAAGGATAACGCACCCGGCACCCGGAAGCGTTATCCTGGCACCAGGAGGGGGTACACCAGATCGCACGGGTCTCATTACAATTCTAATTGGGATGCCACCCGAGGCGGGGCGCTGGAATTATTTATTTTCCTTCCATTTGCGCGGTGCTAATAATATCGCTCGGCGAAAACCCCCCCAAATAATTATTTAATTACGGCGCGGTGCTAATGATAACGCCGGGGGGTTCCTTAATTGCTTCTCCGGGTTACCTATAACGGATCTGTTCGACTGCAGCTCTTTTCAGGTTCGGCTCAAGTTCGATTCGAGGCGACGGCCGCTCGGCGCAGCATCGACCCACGAGCGGAGCGAGTGGCTCCAGGGAGGCGCGCCCAGGGCGAAGCTCCGACCCCCCCGACTGCGGAGGTGCCCGCCGCGAAGCTGGCGGGCCCTCCGGCAGGATGGGCCCTGAGGATTGCAAAAAAAAACCCAGAGTTTTTTGCCATCCAGAGTTTTTCTTTTTTGCAATCCTTAGTTTTTTTTTTGCAATCCTGGGTTTTTTTTTTCAATCCTTCGTTGGCCGCTCGCGGGCCCCCCGGAGCGAGAGACGGAGGAGAGAGGCGCGCGCGAGGAGGACCGGCGAGAACGACGACGACGGCGACCGCCCGCGCGCGCCCGCTGCAATGGGGCCCCGGGGCCGTCGAAGAGCGACGCGGGGTGGGAGCCTGCCTCGGGGAGGGCCTCCCGCGCCGGGGGCCCGCCGCCTCTCTGCGGGGCCGTCGTCCCGCCATGGCGTCGCGCCCTCGCAGGGCCTCACGGGGCTCGACCTGGCGAGGGCGACGGGCGGCCTGGCCCGCACGCCCCCGACGCGCGGGCACAGCCAATTGGGCGCCGCGTAATGGGGGGGTCATAAATGGGGGGGGTGGCGAGGGTGGTCCGAAAAGGTACCCAAACGGTACCTAAACGAGCCCCCTGGGGCTCTGGAGGGGCCCGAAAGGGGCACGAAAGGGGACCTTTTCTGACCCCCCCATGTGTGACCCCCCCACTAAGCCACGCCCAAGCCAACGAAAACCGCGCGGTAGGGCCCCTCGCGCCGCGCGTTGCGCCTCTTCGCCGCCCCCCCGTGAGATCCAGGCGTTGCAACTCTTCCGTCGCCCTAATGGTCTGGCGGTTCCTCATGCTGGTTTTGCTTCGAGCTCGCCATCGGAGCGAAGACTGCATGGCAGCCAGCGTGGACCCTGGGCAGGGTGCTTCTAGCAGTGCGCGCTGTGCAACCGACGTGGATTAATGCATGTGGTGCAATGTTTTTGATATGCAAATTCCGTGGTGCAAATCCA